GCAGAGCCCCATGCGGGGTTCGAACTCGCGAACCGCGAGACGGTGACCTGAGCTGAAGTCAGACACTGAACTGACTGAGCCACCCAGGCACCCCTAATGTGCTAATTCTTATAATAGAGTGTGAATCAAATGTCAATTTGCTGGCATAACCTTTCCGACAAACTGTAGACTGGAAAACACTTTACATTTGTTTTAAGTTTATTTTTTTATTTTGAGAGAGACTGAGGGTGGGGGAGGGGCAGAGAGAGGGAGAGACAGAATCCCAAGCAGGCTCCGCGGTGTCAGCACAGAGCCTGAGGCAGGGCTTGATCTCACAACCAGGAGATCATGACCTGAGCGGAAATCAAGAGTCTGATGCTTAAGTGACAGAGCCACCCAGGTGCCCCAGCACTTTACATTTTAAGTGTCTCACACACTTAAAAAGAGGGTTCGTTTGGCAAAAAATATTTGTGTTTTCCCAAGGAATGCTTAGTTTATTCACTACAATTTTAAAACCTTTTCCATGGTGACCTTTGAAAATCCATGAAACTAGATAGAATGATATAACGAACCCCCATGCAGCCCCCAAATCATTCACCTATGGCCCGTCCTGCCCAACCATACCCCCCACTTTATTATTATTTTCAAGCAATCCCAGATGTGATATCATTCCATCAGTATGTAGTTATTTAACAATTGGGGGGGTGAGGTTGGCGCCTGGGTGGCTCAGTCGGTTAAGTGTCCAACTTCAGCTCAGGTCATGATCTCACAGGTCATGAGTTCAAGCCCCACGTTGGGCTCTGTGTTTACAGTTCAGAGCCTGGGTCCTGCTTCGGATTCTGGTCTCCCTCTCTCTCTGTTCCTCCCCTGCTCACACTCTGTCTCTCTCTGTCTCTCTCTCTCTCAAAAATAAACAAAGAATTTAAATTGTTTTTTAATTTTTTAAGTTTACTTATTTAGTTTGAGAGAGACAGAGAGAGCACCAGCAGGAAGAGAGGCAGAGAGAGAGAATCCCAAGCAGGCTCTACAAGGTCAGCACAGAACCCAACACAGGGTTCGAACCCACACAACTGTGAGATCATTATCTGAGCTGCAATCAAGAGTCAGATGCTTAACCGACTGAGCCACCCAGGTGCCCCTCTGGTTGTTTTTTTAAAAGTTTTTTTTTAGGGGTGGAGCCTGCTTGGGATTCTGTCTTTCCCTCTCTCTCTTTGCCCCTTCCCCCCAAATAAATTTAAAAACTTAAAAAAACCCACAATCCCATTTTCAAACCTAAAAGAAAATTTAAAATAATTTCTTAGTATTATCAATATTGAAATTTCCAACTGTCTTGTGAATGCCATATTTGTTTGCATCCGGACCCCAAAATACCCACACTTTGTGATCACCCGCTTTGCCTTTTAAGTCTCCCTCCATCTGTAGATTCTCCTTCCATCTTTTTTTTCTTGTAAATGGCTTATTGCAGGAGACACGTTGTTTATTCCACAGGGTTTCTTACAATGTGGATTTTGCTGAATGTGCCCTTGGGGTGTCATTTAACATGTTCCCCTGTTCGTTGTCTTTCCTGTAAGTTGATAATTTTACACCTAGAGGCTTGATCACAAGGAGGCGGCAACAAGAATGGAAGAACAGTACCCAGTGATATTTTGGGGAGACGAGACCACGGGTCTTGGAGATTGAAGTGGAAACACGAAGGCAAAGAAGATGCTAAAGTGAGCTCCATTCACCCCCTCTCTCAGTGTCAGGACTAAGGGTGTTCTGTGCTTTGGAGATGCTCCATCAAAGATCTTTCCTTTCTTTTCAAAAACTTTATGTGATTTTGAGCCTTTTAACATTTCTTAGTGAATTTTTGTAACCCTTCCCGAAGGTCATCATCTTTGTGAAATTTGAAGTGTGAAACCCTCTTCTCATACTCCATGCTGTTCCAGAAGTTCCCTAATAAGGGCACTGTGTGGTGTGGTCCTCTGGTGACCGGCCAGCTCCTCCGTCTGGGTATCCCTCTGCGCCTGGACTTGGAAAGGAGGCTGGCTCCTTGGCTAACATGCTCCCGAGAACTTCACAGGCAGCACATGGGTGTGGACTGAAAACCTGCATGGAGACCAGCTAGTTGTATCTTTCATTTCATTTATTCCTAGAGTTTTAAACTTTTCCTGCGTGGACTCTTCTACTGTCTGCAAGTGTAATGATAATATTTTAACATCCTTGTTCCCTTACTTGTCTCCCTGCACTGCCTTGGACGGCTAGTACTCGCAGAATAGAAGTAGCGAGAGTGCAGATGTGCCTGCACCTGACCTCCGAGAAAATACAACATTTTAACACCAAGGAGAATCTCTGCTGCCTAATTTTATACAGAGACTGTACTATTTAGGGTCCTCCAGAGAAAGAGAACCAATAGGGTGTATAGAGATATAGACAAGAGGAGATTTCCTATATTATTTGGCTTCTGTAGTTATAGAACCCCGGAAGCCCCACCATCAGCCACCTACAACCTGGAGAACCAGGAAAGCCGATGGTGTAACCCAGTCAAGTGTGAAGGCTGGAGGGTTGAGGAGCTATAATGTGAATCCTGATGTGGGTCTGAAGGCCAGAGAACCCAGACCGCCAATGTCACAGGGCTGGAGAAGGTGGATGGATGTCTCAGGTCAAGTGGAGAGAGTGAATTTGCCCTCCCTCTGCCTTTTCATTCTATTCCAGCTCTCACGGGATTGGATGGTGCCCCCCTCCCCTCTGCTTTACTAGTTCACGGGCTGATCTCTTCCGGAAACACCTTCACAGACACACCCAGAAATAATGTTTTCACTAGCTCTCTGGGTGTCCCTTGGCACAGTCACATTGACACACAAAATTAACCCTCGCGGATGCCCTTTATTACGGAAATTCTCTCACATTCTTGAGTTTATGCTAACAGGTCTTTTTTTTTTAATTTAATGTATGTTAAATTTGTAAATGATGGTTTCAAATTCTGTGAATGTGGTCAAATATATTAATCTATTTTATAAGGTTAAGCCAATCTCGAATTTCAGGAATACATTCAACCCGGTCAAAGTGTATTGTCATTTTATTGCGTTTTGCTGGACTTGCTTTGTAATTGCTTAAAGTTTTTACATCTATGTTCGCGAATGAGATTGAGTCCTAAACTGTGTCTATGTTGTAATCAAGACTTTGCAACGCTCATAAATTGGCTCAGAACTATTTTCTTTTTCACTATCTTCTGGAAAATTTTGTGTAAGTTTGGATTATAAAATTCCTTGAAGAGTGGAACTTACCCTTTTGTCCTCTTTCTTTAAAAAAAAATTTTTTTTTAATGTTTCTCCTCTTTGGGAATAGCTTTAATATCTTATAAGCATCATGCATACATATTTAAAATTTTTCTAACATTACAGAAAAATACAGAGGCACCTGCCTGGCTCAGTCAATAGAGCATGCAATTCTTGATATCTGGATCATGAATTCAAGCCCCATGTTGGGTGTGGAGCCTATTAAAAATATATATATACCAAAAAAAGTGCCAAAAAATTTTTTTCAAATTAAAAAAATTTTTTAAATATTTTCATAAAACCTTCTATCCAGTGGAAATCACTCAACATTTTGAGCATATTATCTCCGTATTAATCATCTCTGTATAAATAAATGTCTAAATTTTATATAACTGGATGTGGTTCTACAGTAAACTGCTTACTTCCCACAACATTATTCCACTGACATATTTTATGTCAGGAAATAAAGAGCTTTATCATAAGTTATACTGATTACTTAGTCTGAACAGTAGTGTCTCTAATGATGACTAAAGTCTATTTTTAAAAATTGTGTTTTTGAGGGGCACCTGGGTGGCTCAGTAGGTTAAGCGTCCAACTTCAGCTCAGGTCACAATGTCACAGTTCACGGGTTTGAGCCCCACATCGGGCTCTGTGCTGACAGCTCGGAGCCTGGAGCCTGTTTCGGATTCTGTGTCTCCCTCTCTCTCTGTGCCTTCCCCGCTCATGCTCTGTCTCTGTCTCTCTCAAAAATAAACATTAAAAAAAATTAAAATAGAATCATACAACATATGGCCTTTTATGACGGATTTATTTCACTTAGGACATTGTTTTCAAAATGCATCCATGTTGTAGCAGGGATAAGTTTCTTTCTTTCTTTCTTCCTTTCTTTCTTTTTTTTTAGCCAAAAATATTCTCTCACATGTACATACCACATTTTATTTATCCACTCATCTGCTGATGGACATTTGAGTTGTTTCCACTTTTAGGCTCTTATTAATAATGCTGCTGTGGACATTCCCGTACAGGTTTTGTGTGGATAGATGCCTTCATTTCTTTCGAGCATCCACCCAGGAGGGGATTGCCAAACCATCCAATATATCCCAACATTGGTCCTCGTTTGCCTTTTTCAGGGGGCTCTTTCCTTTTAATTCTTAATATTTTTGTTTGTACCTTTTCTCTTTTTAAGAATTCTTATTGACAGAGGTTTGTCCATTCGTGTGTGTAATTAATCTTCTCAAATAACAGACTTTCAGCCTTCTTTGTTTTCTGTATTACATCTTTCTTTTCTACTTCGTTGACCTCTGCCCTTATCTTTATCATTTCGTTCTTTATATATTTGATGGGCATATTGAACTAGCCTATTTCTAACTTGTTATGTTGAAAGACCTAGCTCATTAATTTTCAGCCTTTCCTGTTTCTTCAAAAGTGTTAAGGCTCTTAGCCACGAGCGGCTAATGGCTATTGTATTGAGTGGCACAGTTACATAACACTGCCCAGAAGCTTCTACCAAACCGGCCTAGTTGAAAGGGTCTAGGAGGCACAGGCTTCAACCTTTCAAAGTCTTCATAAAGGGCCTTACAGTGGTTGCATTTTTTATTTGCTCTAGACCCTGTGGCCAAGGATTCTGTATTTTAACAGGTGCATTAGGTAAATTTGTGGAGCTAGGCCCACTGACCTGTGTGGAAGCCACGCATCCAAGCCCCATCCCATTGAGCTAAGTTATATGCCGGCCTCCTGACTCATGTCAGCCCACACTCAGCCCACCTCTCCACAGCAGCCAGAGTGACCTCTGAAGAAGGCAAAGCTGATTCCGACATCCCCTGCTTACAAGCCGTCAGAGGCTCCTCTGTGTCCTCAGGATAAGGACACAGGCAGTGCTGGGCCAACAGGCCCGCCCACAGCCCTGCTCACGCCAAGGGGTAAAGGGAGGTTTGCTGGCCGTGTCCCCTCGGGGGCCTCAGCTCCTCGTACTAACGGGTGTGGGGCGCAGGGCAGGGTGCAGCGTCCGTGGGCCAAACACCCCAGACACGGGCGCCGGGTGGAGGGAGGCACCCTGCCGGCCCCGTCCGGGCCGCGGGGGCGTGGGAGCCGTGGGAGGAAGGAGGACCGATCGCCAGGTGGGGAAGCTGCCGCCCGCCTTCGGCAGCGCGAGGCGACGGCCTTGCTCACGTCTGCTCAGGTCAACGTGTCCTTCTCGCTGTCCCTGGAGCTGCTCTCCTATCAGAAGCTCCCGGCGGACCAGATGCTGCCCGGGGTGGACGTTTGGCGGCGTGCCAACGGAGAGAAGGAGATGGTGTTCGCTCAGAACCTGCTCCTGGAGTCCGCCGACCAGCCCGCTCAGGCGAGTCCCGGGCCTGCCCCGCGCGCGCCGAGGGGGGCAGCGGGCCAGACTGTCCTGGTGGGTCGGAGGAGGTGGGACCCCCACGCGGCCCTCAGAAACGGGAGCGGCCCCGGCCCTTGCCCTGAGGGCCCGGCGTGCCCTGGAGGACGCCTTTCCCCGAGGACACACCCCGAGAAATACAGGTCTTCCTTCCTTCCCCATCTCAGCTCAGAACCAGGGGCCGTGCCGTGGGGTGGGACACGGGGCTCCCGGCTGCAAGACGCAGGTGAGGACCGAGAAGGGATAGCCTGAGGGGCGGGTTCGAGAAAGGCCAGGAGGAAGAATCAGTCTAGCCAGGCGGGCCCTCCAGCGGGTGCCCAGGGGCGGGGAAGGTGAGCGCGGCAGCGCCTCGCCTGAGGGTGACGTGGGGGCACTGGCCAGGAAGAGGGGAGATGGCCCAGAGCCCAGGAGGGGCAAAGGGCTGGGCCTCGGGGCCCCCAGGGGATGGAGGAAGACGGGGAGGGCGGCCCGACCGGGAGCAGGACACACAGAGCTTGATGGGGGCAGGGGGAAAGGGATGGTGGGGAGAGCAGATGGCGCCTTCCGGGCCCTTGACCTGCACACACGCCCGCCGGCCTGGGTTTTCGATGCCAGGCCAGCCCCCTGCACAGCTGCGGTGCTGCCTGGGAGCTCCTCAGAAGCTTCCGCATCTGTACGCCTGGCTTCGAGCCCGGCAGCAGTGGACGAGGGCCCCCATGTTACAGGCTCTGCTCTGTCCCCCAGGTGGTGCCCCTGAAGGCCACCGTGGCCGTGCCAAGCTGCAGCTCTCCACCAGCTGGGTGGACTTTGGGACCTGCTTTGTGAACCAGGCACGGGTCCGGGAGGTCTACCTCATGAACCTGAGTGGCTGGGTTGTGCCTATGGGTCATGGAACTGAGACCCGAGTTGGTCTCCACACTGAGCGTGGAGCCTGCTTAAGATTCTCTTTCCCTCTGCCCTTCTCCCCTGCTTGCACGCTCTCTCTCTAAAGTAAAAACAAATAAAATAAAATAAATTTTCTAAAATTGAAGTAAACATAATTTAAGGCAAAATAGAACTGATGGCAAACAGTATCAGTAGTTATGAGGGATGCTATTTAATGATAAGGAAAACAACTCACAAAGAATATCGGACAATCTATTCTAGTTTCACTTCTCCATTGTGTTTTTAAACTTCAGTCGCTATATTGTTCATTTCTAGGATTTATGGTGTCTTCGGAGTTATGTTGCTTTCTCTCTTTGACCGTTTAAACAAATGCATAAGCCTTTTCCGAGAGCCCTACCACCGCTGGACGGCACATTGATGGTAAATCCTTCGCTCTATTGTTCCTGCCTCACACCGGCATCTTTCCTCCTGTACTCAAGAATTACTACTTAAAAATTTATCTTGGGTGAGATTCATCTTCCCTGGAAAGCCCTAGGAGTCTTGGGCTGTCGGTGGCAACATCTGTGTGAAATGGTTTTGTGTCTGCTTCTGCTGGGACCTCACAAGGTCCACATCTTTTTGCGTTCATTCCTGGGCTTGGGGCTGGTATCCGTGGGGCCAGGTGTTCCCCCGAGGCCAGCACCCGAGCCCCCTTCTGAGCTGCTTCCATCTCGCCATCAGCTTGTGCGCACTCTGTACGCAGAGAGCAGCAGCCCTGTGGGGTTGGGGTTGGAGGCGAGCAGTGTAAGCAGCTGGGTCCCACGTGTAGGTCAATGCCTGGGCAGTGGTAGAAATGCCCGAGCACCTGGGGGAGCCTAGGTGGCTCAGTCGGTTAAGCATCTGACTTTGATCTTAGCTCAGGTCTAGATTTTAGGGTTGTGAGTTCAAGCCCCGCACTGGGCTCCGCTTGAAGAAAAAAGAGGGGCACCTGGGTGGCTCAGTCAGTTAGGTTTCCAACTTCGACTCAGGTCATGATCTCCTGGTTTGTGATTTCGAGCCCTGCATTGAGCTCTTGGCCGTTAGCGCAGAGCCTGCTTTGGATCCTCTGTCTCCTTCTCTCTCTGACCCTCCCCCACTGTCATGCATACTCTCTCTTTCTCTCGAGAATAAATAAACATTTTTGTAAAAAAAGGAAAAAGAGGGACACCTGGGTGGCTCAGTTGGTTAAGCAACGGACTTCAGCTCAGGTCATGATCTTGCAGTTCGTGAGTTTGAGCCCCACATCGGGCCCTGTGCTGACAGCACAGAGCCTGGAGCCTGTTTCAGATTTCAGATTCTGTGTCCCCCACTCTCTCTGCTTCTCCCCTGCTCGTACTCCTTCTCTCTCTCTCTCAAAAATGAATAAACATTAAAAAAAAACTTTTAAGGTAAATAAAAAAGACTTTCTCTCTCTCTCTCTCAAAAATGAATAAACATTAAAAAAAAACTTTTAAGGTAAATAAAAAAGACTTTCTCTCTCTCTCTCTCAAAAAGAAAGGAAGGAAGAAAGAAAGAAAGGCCCAAGCGGCTGAAAGACACTGGTGACAGAGTTCCACATAAGCTAGTGACCATGACCTGGGCAGCGAGAACCCCACGATTTACAGGCATCCCAAGCTTACAGGTCATTCCTACAGGGAGACCCTGGCTGATGTGTCTGTTGTTGATTATATCATAAAGACACCAGACTTGTAGGGTCATACGATGGGCAGCTTCATGCAATTTTGGCATTTAATTTTCATTATTTCATTAAGCAACCTGTGTGATAAGAATGATGTGGGAGACCAAAAAGAAGAAGGTTCTAGTCTAGTGCTGTCTAGTAGAGATGTAACGTGAGCCACAAATGCAAGTCATGTGTGTAGTTTTAAATTTTGTGCTATATTAAATAAATATAAATTTTCTGTTATGTTAAAAACAGTTTTTTAAAAAGGTGCAATGACTTTAATATTTCATTAACTCAATATCCAATATCTTATCATCTTTACACACAACCAATATAAAAAATACTGATGAGATATTTTATGTTTCCTTTTGTATAAATGTTTGAAATTGGTGGTTTCTTACACAGCACATCTTTTTGTTGTTGTTGGTATTTATTTTTATTTTTGTAAATTTTATTATTTTATTTTTTTAAATTTACATCCAAATTAGTTAGCATATAGTGAAACAATGATTTCAGGAGTAGATTCTTTTTTTTTTTTTTTAATTTTTTTTTCAACGTTTTTATTTTATTTTTGGGATAGAGAGAGACAGAACATGAACGGGGGAGGGGCAGAGAGAGAAGGAGACACAGAATCGGAAACAGGCTCCAGGCTCTGAGCCATCAGCCCAGAGCCTGACGCAGGGCTCGAACTCACGGACCGCGAGATCGTGACCTGGCTGAAGTCGGACGCTTAACCGACTGTGCCACCCAGGCGCCCCCAGGAGTAGATTCTTTAATGTCCCTTACCCATGTAGCCCATCCCTCTTCCCGCAACCCCTCCCGTAACCCTGTTTGTTCTTCATATTTATGAGTCTCTTTTTGCCCCCCTCCCTGTTTTTATATTATTTTTGCTTCCCTTCCCTTATGTTCATCTGTTTTGTCTCTTAAAGTCTTCATATGAGTGAAGTCATATGATTTTTGTCTTTCTCTGACTGACTCATTTCACTTAGCATAATACCCTCCAGTTCCATCCACATTCTTGGCAAGATTTCATTCTTTTCGATTGCCGAATAATACTCCATTGTATATATATATATACCACATCTTTATCCATTCACCCATCGATGGACATTTGGGCTCTTTCCATACTTTGGCTATCGTCGATAGTGCTGCTATAAACACAGGGGTGCATGTGTCCCTTCGAAACAGCACACCTGTATCCCGTGGACAAATGCCTAGTAGTGCAATTGCTGGGTCATAGGGAGTTCTACTTTTAGCTTTTTGAGGAACCTCCATCCTGTTTTCCAGAGCGGCTGCACCAGCTTGCATTCCCATACACAGCACATCTTAATTCCGACTATCGCCACATCTGGCTAGGGCCTATTGTGTGAGACAGCATGGATCTAGTCTGTTAAGATATATAATGTCAAACTCTGAGTAATATCAGCCATTGATTAGATAAGCAAACTAGATAGGTTTATCTAGGACTGACTGACAAAGTCTTGTCCACCTAAAGAAAATCTAAGTCATGTAAGGGTGCACGAGGCCTTGCCCACAGCCACGTCTGAGGTTACCAGCTCCATCGCGCCAGCGCTGCCTGTCTGTTTTCTGTCCTGACCCATTTCCTCTTCCGGTTTTCTGAGGCACTGGCTGAATCCTTCCAGCAAAGTAATTTGAGGTGAGGTGTTTAAATGTGGCTAACGTGTTGGTCATCACAACCCACAGACAGGCCTCCCCCAGAAAGAGCAGGGGAGGCCTTTAAAAATCCTGTCGGGGCACCTGGGTGGCTCAGTTGGTTGCCTGTCTCTTGGTCTCCGCTCAGGTCATAGGCTTACAGTTCGTGAGTTTGCGCCCCATGTCGGGCTCCGAGGCGGGGAGCCTGCTCGGGATTCTGTCTCTTCCTCCCTCTACCCCTCCCCGTATCACGCACATTGTCTCTTTCTCTCTCTCTCTCAAAATAAATAAACATTAAAAAAAAATAAAAATAGGGGCGCCTGGGTGGCTCAGTTGGTTAAGCGTCTGACTTCGGCTCAGGTCATGATCTCACGGTTCATGAGTTCGAGCCCTGCATTGGGCTCTGGGCTGCCAGCTCAGACCCTGGAGCCTGCTTCGGATTCTGTGTCTCCCTCTGCCCCTCCCCCCTCGTGCTCTGTCTCTCTGTCTCTCAAAAATAAAGAAACATTGGAAATATATAAATAAATAAAATAAATAGTAAAAAATACAAAAAATAAAACATCCTGTCATCCTGTAAGCAGATAACTTGTGAGACCCCTTTCTCTGGGACCTGCAAACGCTACTCGGGAGGCAATCTTGGGAAATTTGGCAAAGAACAGGGGGACCAGAAAATGACACTGAAAGGAGGTGTGGGCACCAGCTTCTTGCTGTGCCCAAGCTTGGGAACACACACCTGGAACAGGGTGTTTGGACCAGGCTCTGTGCACTGCGCTCCAACCCTCTCTGGGAGACCTGGCCTCCCTGCCTTTGCTCCGCGAGGTTGGACATTCTTTTCTGTCCTTCTCTCCGAAGCTCCAGGGAATTAGCTCCTCCCCGCAAGCTGGTGATCTTCCTTTTTTTCTTTTTTTAAAACTTTTTTTAACATTTGTTTATTTTGAGAGAAAAAGAATGTGTGTGCATGCAGGAGAGACGCAGAGAGAGGGAGACCTAGAACCCCAGGCAGGCTCTGTGCTGACAGCACAGAGCCCGATGCGGGATTTGAACCTATGAACCGTGAGATCGTGACCTGAGCCGAAACGGAGTCCGACGTCTCGTAGACTGAGTCACCCAGCCGTGCCTAGCTGATGATCTTCCAATTAAGGGGGCAGAGAAAGAGAAGAGCCAGGCCCTGCCCTCCCAGGGAGAAAGCATGTGCGGCCCATGGCCTGACCCAAAGGTTTCTGAGTCTGGCTAACGGATGAGGAGCTCTGGACCTTCTCCAGTCTAGAGAAGCTCTCACACTGGCTGGGAAGGGCAGACTCACCCTCAGGGTAGTGGGGACTGTAAGCTGGATGTGGGGGCTTATCCTCAGGGAGGCGGAGGTCAGAGGTCAGCCAGGCTGGAGTCATCAGGGAAGGAACACCCAAGGATGTGGTTTGGGTAGTCCCCGAGACCGTGCTTACCTGTGAGTGTCAGAGGGAAAACTGAGCGAGAAAGCGCCGTGCAAACGGGAAAAGGAGTCATTATTCCCCGACACGTGCACACCTCCTTTCAGGCAGAGCTGAAATCTATCTCAGCCTGCCCCAGCTAGCAGACGCCTGGGCTAGAGGACGCGGTCCTGGGCGCACGGTCCTGGCCTTACCCACTCCCAGCCCTCTTAGACACAGCCCCTCGAGCCCCCCGTCCAGAGAGCTCCTCACTCTCCCCAAGGGCTAGCTAAGGACATGAAGGACACTGAGAAGCCTGTCTGACCCAGCTTCCTCTGGGCCTGGGGCTCTGGGCTCTCCAGACACAGCCAGTTGTGACCAAGCCATCTCAAGTCCAACCACGGCACATTTATTGCCATGAATCACACCCTAGCTCACCCAGGAGGGACCATTTTCGGGGCTCGAGGGCTGGCCTTGGAGCAGGACTGCCCTGCCCCCCGAGCTGGACTGGGCCCCTGGAGTTCGTGGCCCGGAGTCCACGGCCCCATACCCAGCCACTCGGCTCCGGTCGAGATCGTCCGGGGGCCTGGACCTCAGTCATTCCGTGGGTCTGTGTCCCCTGCTCTGCCCGGCACTGGTGTGTGGGAGAGAACGTCGGAGTCCAGTTTCAGCATCGTGGAATCGAGAACCGTGTTCCTCACCACGTCCCCAGTCCCACCTTCGGGTGCCACTTCCTTGGCGAGCAGTTCCTCAGCCATGTTCCTGAAGAAGCCATTGAAGAACAAGTCACGAGTTGCATCTTTAGGGGCTAAGAAAAGCAGTAGTAACTAGAGCAGCAGTGGCCACGCCTGGCTCTGCGATCCCGAGAGGTGGGGCTTTCCCACACCTGCAAGTCCCCGGCCAACCTTTGTCATGCGCCCTCAGGGACCCTCACCTCCAGGACCAGGCCTGTTCCATCTCCCAACCCTGCCCAGACCCTTCACACTCCTGCATCTTTGGGGCTCATCTCTAGCATTTACTGAGCACCTGCCACAGGCCAGACTCTGCACCAAGTGCTTTATGTGGACTTTGTCTTACCAAGAGCCCTATGAGAGAGAAAGGCTAGGCCTCATATCTTTCTTTACCTCTCTGTGCCTCAGTTTCCTCCTCTGTAAAATGGGGCACAGTGAGAGGACCTATCTTGCATGCAGCTGTTGTTAGGACAAAGTATGAAAAGGCACGTGTGGAATAGGACTTGACACATGGTAAACGTTCAATAAAGGTTAGCTGTTTTTATTACTCTGGTATCATTCCATTTTGCAAATGAAAAAGCTGAGTCTCAGAGGTATTAGGTAACTCCCCTGGGCACATGCTAGGATGTGGCAGCAGAGACAGAAATCCAGGCCCTCTGGCTCCAGAGGCTGTTTCTTAGCTCCTCTTGCTGCTTTGCATTTCCCCCTCTCTACAAGGGGACAAACTCCTATTCATCCTTCAAAGCCCTACTCAAATGTCACTTCTTCTGTGACGCCTGCCTCAACTCCCCAAGCTGAAGGTCCTCCCTCCTGGGCCGTCTATAGGTCCTGTGCATCCCTCCCTCAGAGCCCATTTAGTGAAGACTTTCTCCCCATAAAATATTGCTTGAGGCTGGGGACGTCTTACCTCTGACAATGCCTAGCACAGATGGTGTCAATAAGAGTTTGAGGAGGGAGGGAGACGGGGAAGAGGGCAGAGGATGGCCAGAGACAGCCACCCTGTGATATGAGCACAGGGCACTGGAGGACATCAGCCAGCCTCTGTCCCTCACTGGTGCTCAGGTCCCCTCAGGTCCAGGGAGAGAGCGATGGGCCATATCGGCCCAAACCCCAGGAGACATGGTCCTCCTAGTCATGAGACCAGAAGAGACCAGAGGCCAGAAGTGCCCCTGGAGCAATCAGGAAGGAGCCCAATTCCCAAACGGGGCCCTGGGCTGCTGCAGCCTTGAAGTCAGAGTCACGAATCAAGACTGGGTCCTCTTTGAGAACCTGAGAGTTCAGACTGGAAATCAGAGGTACTCAGAGAGCTGGTGGCCAGCCAGTCCCTCTGCCATGGGAGGGAGGGAGCCCAGGGCATCTCCATGGACAGCACCCAGTCCAGACAGGCAGCCAGAGGGGAAGGGAAGACCTGGCCCGGGGTTGGTCAGGAGAGCCAAGAGGGTGGGAGCTGGCAGAGGCCAGGCTGCACGGAGGGGGTCGCGGCAGCATCCGGGAGAGCTGGGCAGACTTCTGTAGACACAGAGTGGCCCTTGTGTCACAGGCCCATCTGGCAAACAGGCAGGGATAGATGGTGCCAAAGGCCAGAGCCCACGGGCCACACACACCTACCTTGTCTGTAGGGGGTAGTGCTCCAGGATATCAGGGAGAGGCTGGTCTTGCGTTTCTGGCAACAGGGAGCAGAAGAACAAGGCCAGGATGGCTGAGACGCAGCAGAGGAGGATGGGGAGGAGGGTGAGTCTCTGGCTGATGATCATCAGGGACGAGATGGCTCCAGCTGCCCAGGCCAGGGACACCAGCCCCAGACCTGTCGCCCTGGAAGGGGAGGTGAGAGCTCGTCTGGGAGGCCTCCCGGGCCCAGAGGCTGGCTGGAGGTGGGGCGGAAACAGCAGCTCCCCAAAACCTCACACTCTCCAGTCTCCAACCCATCCCGACTCCCCGGACACCCTTGCACAGCATTGGGCTCCCCCGATTCAGGGCAAGCAGTAATTTCTTCTGGGCCTACTTCTTGGAGCAGGAGACCCACCCGGCAGCGTGCAGGCCCGTGGGGAGAAGCCAGGGTGGTGGCGTTGGGTGGGGGGGCAGGACGCTGCCACCCTCACCATGGCTCCACGCTGCGGGGTGGAGCCTCAGGGCAGGGCTGTCACATCTCAGCCCCGCTGTGCAAGGCGGAGACTGCAGTCAGACTGCCCACTGCTGCCATTCGCTGTCTGGCCTCCACCTGATGCTGTGGTCTGAGATTGGGCTAATGATGGAGTCTGGGGGATTTTCTGGAGGGTCAACGGGGTGACCCAGGGAAACCACTCATCATCACGTGCCTGTCACCGGGTGCACGGCCGTTCTCACGGAGGTCTCAGTCTCCATCCCGCGTGCCCTCGCCATGCCCCCCAGGGGCCCTGCCCGCCAGGCCACCTACCTGAGGACCGTGGGCAGGAGCTCAGCGGTGTAGATGAAGAACACGGTGACCGAGGCCGCCAGGCTGAACTCTCCAAGCGCGACCATCAAGACCATTATGGATTTCAGCTCTATGGCCAGACAACGGGGCCACCTGAGCCTGGGGCCGTCTGCCCCTGGGGACGAGGGTTGGGGGCCGCCCATCTGCTCTCCCTCCATCCCTCTTCAAGGCATCTGAACAGTCCTCCCCCACCACCTGGTGGTCAGCTGGTCAGCAGACTCAGGCCAGGCCAGGCCAGTATATCCGCAGTGAGATTGCTCCTCCCCTCTGCCTCTCAGTCCCCACACCTCTGCCTCCCGGCTCACTCCCTTCTTCCGCATCCTCACCTGAGGCCGCTTCCCCTACTACTCGACCTGCTCAGGGCCCTCCCGCCTCCCTGGCCATCCTCTGCAAGGTAGACCAAGCAGGGAGGGGTGCACAGGGGCCAGGAAGGGTTCGGGCCCTGGAGCCCCAACTCTTAAGACATTCCAGGATTCCCGACTCTGGGCAGCCAGATGTGCGCATCGAGGAAGGAAGAGAAGATCCCAGAAAGGCCACTCCTCAGCCTTGGGGAGGTCCGGGGGCAGGAGGGAGCTGGAAGCTTCCAGCTCTCCCTCTACCAGCTTCTGCTGGGCCCTGCCCGCACCCCGCTCCCCACTCTGGCCCCAGCTTTGCTTGGCTTTGGGATGAAACCAGAGATATGGTTCATCTATTGGGGATTCCTAGTTTCCCTCACACATGTGAGAGTCTTAAACGTTTCTGTTTGACTCAGTGCAGGCCCACTTTTTACAAAAACCACCAAGCCATAGGAATTTAAGAATGCCTTGGTTTCCCCATTTTGTTTTAGCCAGTCAACGCTGCCAGCAACCGAAAGAGGAAGGGTCTCAGGCAAGATGTGCACAACGCTAACCCCCAGAGAGCAGGAGGGCTCCCCCTGGAGGCAGATCTTGGACAAGCTCCCCCACCCTGACCCCTGCAGCTGAGGGGGCTCTTGCGGTTGGCAATTCTGATGGAGTGAACCCTGACATCTTAACACCCACATCCCAGCCCTGCCACTCTCCAGCCCTGTGACCTGGGGCATAGTCATCGTCTAAGGGCTCTCTGAATTTTTTTTTTGAATAATTTATTGTCAAACTGGCTTCCATACAACACCCAACGCTCATCCCAACAGGTGCCCTCCTCAATGCCCATCACCCACTTTCCCCTCCCCCCACCCCCCATCCACCCTCAGTTTGTTCTCAGTATTTAAGAGTCTCTTGTGGTTTCCCTCCTTCCCTCTCTGTAACTTTTCCCCCCTTCCCCTCCCCCACGATCTTCTAAGTTTCCCAGGACCCACATATGTGCAAAAACATATGGTCTCTCTTTCTCTGCCTGACTTATTTCACTTAGCATAACACTCTCCAGTTCCATCCACGTTGCTACAAATGGCTGGATTTCATTCCTTCTCATTGCCAAGTAGTATTCCATTGTATATATAAACCACAACTTCTTTACCCATTCATCAGTTGGTGGACATTTAGGCTCTTTCCATCATTTGGCTATTGTTGAAAGTGCTGCTATAAACATTGGGGTACAAGTGCCCCCATGCATCGGCACTCCTGTATCCCTTGGGTAAATTCCTAGCAGTGCTGTTGCTGGGTCATAGGGTAGATCTATTTTTAATTTTTTGAGGAGCCTCCACACTGTTTTCCAGAGGCTCTTTGAAATTTTGAAAATACTGCCACCCCTGGCCCCTGCCTCCATTTCCTTGTCTGGTTCTGAGCTGAAGGGTACTGCGCCTTCCTGGGAAGGAGAGGCCTCCATGCAAGAATGTTCCGGAGAGTTTAGCCCACTGTTACATGCAGTTTTCAGTGGGCAGGTCATTTTTTGCCTGGTGGAGTTACAGATAAAAGGCATTTCCCAATCAGAAGCTGCAGATGAGAGGCAGGGCCGGGGGTACCAGTTGAAGGCCTGTTTGTGTGCCTCCGTTCATATGCAACCATCAGATCTGACCGGAAGAAGCCCACCTACTCTCCCACACAAGGATGGCTCCTGGGACAGCACTCCCTCCTCTCCCAGGTTTCTGAGAGCTTCCAGCACCCGGTCTCGGAGTTCTCCTTCGGGGAGGGCAGTGCTCCAGTGACTGGCACCAGCTCAGGAGGGTAGGTGAGCTGTGGGAGCAGGAGGCTGGCTCCCCGGGGTGTCTTGTTGGCCGGGCAGGGCAGGAGGAAGGGGTCTGAGGAAGCAGGAAGGCTGGGGGCTGCCGAGGGGAGGGTGAGCCGTACCTGGGGGGAGGATAAGGATAAGCAGGCACATCAGGGTGCCTTGGAAGAGGCTCACAACCAGGCTCCACTTCCTCCCGATCTGCTCGAGGAGAAAGATGCAGCACAGCCGGGCGGGCACCTCCATGATGCCAGGAATCACTTGTCTGAAGTGGATGTTCATGGCAAAATCCTTCAACTTGAAGCACAGCGTAAAATAGCTGTAACTGACAGTAAACCTGAAATGAAGCCAGGAGAGAGACATTCAGAGAGAGAGAGGGGGATACAGACAGGCCAGGAATAAAGACAGAGGCAGAGGAGCGCCCGGGTGGCTCGGTCGGTTAAGAGTCTGACGTGATCGCGGCTCGGGTCACCATCTCACAGTTCGTGAGACCAAGCCCCGCGTAGGGCTCTGTGCTGACAGCGTGGAGCCTGCTTGGGATTCT